GTGGCTGCAATACACACTTGGTCCTCCCTCTGACCCCACTCCTTCCCCTCTGTTTCTCTTAATTCCCTATCTGGGACCCAGACCCTGAGGCAGCTTTTACTCCTTTAATCCTGCCTGCTCCTCAGTAACTCCTCCCCTCGGGACACCCCCTCCCATGCACGCACTCTTGCACACATACACACACCCACACAACTCTACACCATTTGGTCACCACACCTTGTGCTCAACACAATAGCATCTAAGGCCCCAGGGAGAGTATACTGTGCATAAGGAGGCCTCGGCTAGTTTCTCACATCTTGCTTGAAGGTTTTGTGCATCTGTGTTTGGGGGCTATTTAATTCCTTGTGGTTTTGTGTTTCATTTTTCAGTGCTGAGGATCAAACGAGACAGGCTAGACAAGGTCTCTGCCATTGAGCTACACTCCCAGCCCTCCCCTGTATCTTCACGCCCCCTTTGCACCTACTCCCAGGTCCTTGTGAGTCTTCACCCCTGACTCATTGCCACCACAGCTCCACTACTCATCCTGTCCCTAGCTCCAGCCCTACTATTTTCAGATTATCACAAAGTACGCATAGCAATCCCTGATAACACTTTCTACCTCTGTGCTTTCAGCAATCAGCTCAGAGAGGAGATCCAGAAGCCTGACTGCCTGCCCTGCCCTGCCCTGCCCCTTCAATCAATCCCTCTTTTACAACCCAGCCAACAGGCCTCATACCCTCTGACATCATGACAGCCTCAGCGGCACACCCCAAACCCCACAGGATGAGATTCCCCTCCGTGCCCTGCCCCCATACGCCTCCATCTTCCAGAGATGGTGTCTCCCTCTGTATCTAGTGCATCCTTGAGCCCCAATAACCACTCTGCAATCCATCCTTTCATTACCCCAAGCTATCACTTATCCCAGAAAGCCTCCTCAGGACTCAATCAGGAAATAACCAAGAAAAATCATTCAAACTGTCTTTTTGCTAAGGCAGCTTCCCTGGGATTACCTGGCTAGTTAGTGGTAGGAACTTCATGGGCTTGAATCAAGTTAAAACTTTTTCTTTTGCTAATCCAGTAGCCCTGTAACTAATTTGTGTGTAGGAGCGGGGAATGTTAACAGAATGCCTTTTATGTGTGCCTACTATGGGTATCTTCTAACAGTTCCACCACCCTAAATTGCCTTCACAAGACCAAGCAGGTAGCATGGTCTTGGGCAGAGAGTAGGTACCCAATAAATGCTGGGTGGATGTTGAACACAGTACTAAGTGAAACAGTTCTAAGAACTCTGGAAAGAGCTGCAGAACCCTGAAACCGGGCTCCTGCGGGAGTCCCTTCAGCGCACATCAGGAAGGAATCTCCTTGCTACCCAGAACCTCCTCCTTAAGCACTTGCTCTCCTCATAGAGCTGAAGGGCAGCCTCAAGTCTCCTACCCCTCTAAGGAACACTACCAGCACATCTCTCTCAAAGGTGACATCAGCATCTAGTGCCACTTTGTCCTGGATCACTCCTTCTCAAGAAAACCACCTACACCACGTTCCCAAGTCCTCCAGCCCGACCTCTCTCGCTACCCACTATCAAAACCTCAAGATCTGTACTGGAAACCATCCCCACTGCGTGACCAAAAGTCAGCTCCCCTTTCCCACCCTCCCATTTCAGGAATTTCTCTATTCCAGCTGTCTTCCTGTTGCGCCCACCCTCATCCCCACCCCCACCAGGCCTCCAGTGGCCGCTCCTTCTACCCCACCGCCCTGGCACTGCGGAGATTGGGACATCTCTGGCACAGACTGAAACTGGCAGTTCCAGGAATGGAGAGCTGGCGGTAGGCAGTAACAAGGGGTGTAATGAAGCAAGCAGGAAGGATTAAAACCCCTGGGAACCACACAGACCTCAACCCCTCAGTAGCGCTTGTCCAAAAGAGTAGAGTCGGCCCTCGAGTGAGCCGAGAGGCGCTTTTTCTGACTCTTCTGGAGGGGAAATGGGGGTGCAGTACACCCAGCTCCCACCAGGAGACGAGCCAGATCACCCCCTCCCGCGAAGGCAAAGAAGCTGAAAGAGAACTCCATGCCCTCGCTGCAAATCGGGCATCACCCCCATTCTCATCCCCAAGGGCACAGGGCACCGCAAGGCTGGCGAGGGGCAGAAGACGAGCAGTATCTAAGCCTGCCAGAAACATACACAGGGTAAAATGAGGGTGTTTCCCAAGACGCGCTAGGCAGAGACCCTCCCGAAACTGCAGGGAGCGAGAGCTGGGGAAAAGAGGCATCTTTCCCCCGGGTCGGCCTCTACGGGCTCACCTGCTTGCAGTCGCTGAAGGCCCGGCAGCAGGCAGCTCAGCTCGGAGGCAACAGGAAGCTGCCCCAGACCCAGGCAGCGCGACAGGTCCTAGAGAGCCAAGCTGGAGCAGAGGTAGCTGAAACCTCCGCCGCCCTAGCGCCTGGCCCCGAGGCCCCGCCCCCTTCCTCCGCAGACACCTTGGCCCCGCCCCCAAGGGCGGGGCCTGGCCACCTCTCCTGAGGCCCCGCCTCCTGCCCCGGGCGCTGGCACGTGATGCGGGAGCTGCTTTGATGCTGTGCGCCATCTTGGTTCGGCCTGTACCAGTGACAGAGTGCCAGGGCTTTACCTGGCAGAAGCAAGATCCCAGTAGGGGTCAGGGGTGCAGCACACACCCTGTCTCTAGTGTAACCACCTGTTCCCTCAATTGGCCACTGGCTTGTCACCTTTCTCATCTGCTCTCTCCCACCCATTTTTTTATCTTAAACTTTAAACCAGGATACATGGGTAATATGCTCTTCAGTGAATCGTGTCATTTGCCTGCAAGCATCCGACAGCTCTAAAGCTGTTACTATAAAATGCACTGTTTGTCTATTATATATAGATAGGATGAAAACAGACTCAGATGCCAGAATTCCTGACAAATTGTATCTAAAATCCTCCTGAATTGCTCTCTTACCCTGTCCTGTGTAATACCCTGTGGCTATTAATGCATCTTGCCCATCTGGTTTGTGAAGTTTCATCACAGTGCCTACTCAATCCTTTACAAATACCCAGTAAGCACTCTGGAAGTGTGAAGAATTTTTATACACACATAATGTTCACATATGCGCGAATATATGCGTGTGTGTGTTCTCTACCAGCAGCAAAGGCTATAATTGAGATCAATGACACATAGAACCGTTTATTATTTTTCCTCCAATATTTGGCTGGAATTCTGATTTAATTTGGGCAGAGGACTAATGCTAAATTTGTAATATTTTGTTTGACCTTCAAAATCATGAATCTATTTAAAGAAGTAAAAATTATTAAACAGTTTTTAACCTGAAGTCCAGAAAGCTCCAACTCTAAGTGGCCTGGAGTTACCAAAAGGAAATCATACTAGAAAAGGTAACTCAGCCAAAGTGCAAGAAGGCTGAAGCCAGGACAACACTGACAACACCCTTCCCCTAATGTGTAAGAAAGAACAGGAGAAGCAATAGCCAACATTACATCTAACATCACACCATGGAATTTGACCCAAAAACTCAGAAGTTGAAACACAATTAGTAAGCCCACTTTATTTCACACACACACACACACACACACACACACACACACACACACACTCTTTCTCTCTCTCTCCCTTTTAAACTGACTCCTAACTTGGAGGCACGTGTTCCACCCAGACAACTTCCTCCTGCTCCACGGCATCTTCTGTTCAGGGAATGAGTGGTTGCATTCTTCCTTCCTTCTGCTTCAAAGAGGCAACTTTTTGTTTTGTTTTGTTTTTTTTCCGGTACCAGGAATCGAACTCATGACCTTGTGCTTGCCAGGCAGGCACTGTGCCACTGAGCTAAATCCCCAGCCCCTAAAGAGGCAACTTTTTATTGCACAGATCTGTGAAGTGCTTTTGGTCCTTAGGTTGTTTTTATTCCTTAAATGCCCAACTTCTGTTTTTCACTGACCCAGGCTCATTTTCTGTGTAAAGAGCTTCAGCACCACCCTCAACGTGGGGTAAGACTGTTAGTCACAGAAATAAACAGATGCTTCCTAACAATGTTCTTTAAATAGCAGGGGGTTGGGAGGAGGGTAAGGAATAAAACAACATACTAATTTAGCAGTTTGGCTCACAAAAATACCTGCTTTCAACAGCGCTTTCATGTTCAAAGAATTTTGTCTTAATGCCCAATTCCTGACAACATCCAGCTCACTGATTACTTTGGGCAGGGGGGAGGTGTGGTGCTAGTGTGGGCACAGAAAGATTATCTGCTTAAAAAAAACAAACAAAAACACCCATGGCCCTCTTCTTAGAGCACACCAGGCAGACACCAGCATTTCTGTATGAACAAAAGGCCAGGCTCCTGCAGACGCAGACAACAGCAGCAGACGTAGCACAGCACAGGGCAGAGCAGAGCAAAGTCAGGGCACCTCTGGTTCCAGAGGCTGGTTCTAACGCACCATACACTTTTGAAATCACCTGTAGCATGATAAATACCTAACAGTTTCGTAAAAATGCCACTGTCCTTCGTAAAATAACTTCCTTGGTTTGTTTTGCATTTTACTCAATAACATATACGTATTCTTTCATCACTCTTACATACTTTTTAGCCTGGTCAGGACTTATGTATACCATGATCAATTTTTACTCACCATTTTATTTTTTATTTTTTGGTCTATTACACTCTGCATGCTCCCTTTTACCAACATCTCCCACAAGAAAAAAGTCCCACAATTTAAAAGTCTAAGCTTTTAAATTGTGGATAGCAAAAAAGACCTGGGTCAGAGCCCTCACTCTATATTTACTGGCTGTTACGGCCCTGGGTAAGTCATTAGCTCAGCTTCTCAACCATAAAATGTAAATAGTTTCACCTACCTTTGAGGCTAAAGTTCCCAGGACAGTACTAAGGACTCAGTCATTATCATCACTATCAGCCTTATGTAAAAACAAAACAAAATAAAACATCTAAAATCCCAAATTGGCAAAATATTTATACAATAAATATCCAAACATTGTTTTTAAGAAAAGATACACAAGTCAACCTTGTAAGATTCGGAAAACCCTGTCACCTGCTTTATTTCTGGAGATGGGTAAAGGAAGAAGAGAAAGTATTCACTTGAATTGAAGGACAGCTACATTGGAAGCAACAGTAGAACAATTTTAGGCCTTGGGGTTCCTCTGATCCATAGAGGGAAATTTCCTTGCTTGAAGATTTGAGTTTAATTTTTCCCTAGAGTAGTATCATCCGTTTTTCCACTGGTACGAAAGAATAAAGAAACAAACTCAATAGCACCAAACTAGGTTTTAACACAGAAAACAGGGTCAGGTTTATCTTTTCAAATGCAAATTTTTACATTAAAATATGTTTATAAATCATAGTCTTCCTCTTGATTGAACCCTTCTCCTTCCTGTAATAGAAGCCCCAGGAATCCAAAGAGCGTGTGCATTACTAATCAGATATACAATTCGGCTGCCCCTTCCAAACTGGAATCTGATTACTAATGGACTAGACTCAGGGCTGCCCCAAGGGATGGGAAGCAGTAACTACGCTCTCAGGGAAAATGGATACTGCGGATGCCACCAGTCAAAGAGCCGAACACTGTGCACTGGGTCCAGGATGACTTGCACACCCTGCTCGCTGCGCAGGTTCCGCCCACCACGGATAGGAGAATCTTGGAACACCAGTCTCACTCGATGATGCCGCATGTCCGTACTCACATTGATTGTAAACTAGAAGGGAAAAGCAAACTTAGTACCCAATGTAACCACGGTTTCCATCATTTCTCTACAACGAGACAGTCTAGATATAATTTACACTGGCTAGGACAGAAGATGAATTTCTAGGTTAGAATACCAACACCTTTGTAAAGACATAAAAACTTAGGATGATTTTGTAAGGTCTTCTCGGTTTCATACATTTAAACTATACTAAAGAAAGCCTCACAGATGGGTGAATAAATTAGGATGCACACACAGACACCAACAGAGGCAATTTTCCTTTAAATTGAGTTAGAACTCAGAGAGATGACTTGGAGGGATTTTGATGAGGTGCTGTTGAACAAATGAAGCAAGATGCACAAAACATAAACCTGATCCCATTTTTTATAAAATAAACCATAAAATAAATCCCCAAGTATATATATGTATGTTTACACAGAATTAGCATGAGGTGTATGGAATAGAAGCAGACAGTTGGCCATCCATGTGGCTTAACCTGGGGGCTGGGAGAAGGACCTTCACTAAGAATACCATGTGTGACATAATCTCAATTACACCAAATTATTTGGGAGAGAATGTATGCATGAGCATATTAACGGACACATTAAAAAAGTTTTCAGAAATTTAAATGCAGTTGTAAGACAGTGGAAATCTAAGTCACCTTTACTTTTTCAATATATGTATGTATAATTTAAATTCTTTACATAAGCATACATTATTATTTTACAATTTTAAAAAACTATTTTCATTTTGAGGGGAACACCATGTATCTCTGAACATAAGCCTAAGACACAGAGAAGACAACATGAACTTTCCAGTTGACAATCCAATTAAAATATTTTAAAATATGGAAAAATAAGCCACAGGCACATACGTCATTTACTAATCTAATTCTTAATCAAGCTTTTGAGTAGTCACAGCATCATACAAAGGACAGAGCTGATTACCCTATGTTTTAATATTCTGTTTATGACACTATATGCATGTGTCAAAGGTCCTGATATACAGTGCCCGTGTGCTTCATTATTATTCCTTTCATGATAAGTTTCTCAATCACTAATGATCACTGCATACACACAAAGATGGAAAAACATTTCCCTTCCTAAGGAGAAGAAAACAGAAGTAAAACATTTCACGTTATAATTAATATAATATACAAGTTTATATAATATACAAAATATATTCTCTAATATACGTTTGATTTCAACCTATTTCATTATTCCTGAGATTTCTTCCTCAATGGTTAAATTTACAAACTTCTTTCAAGCTCTAGGTATAGTAACAATCTATAGACAGCAGGAGATAACATCCTGAGTTTCCACTTACCAGGGTAAATATCATCCCCATCACAATTGGAATAAAGATGAAATTGAGGGTAGTAACTTGCAGAAGGCAGCAGTCCTGGTCTGGATTGGTATGAACATCTTCATATTGAATGGGAGGCTGCAATCGCTCCATACACTTGCTCTTTAATCTAGGGGACTGAAGAAAATTAACTTAACTTAATTAATGGCCTAGAGGAAATACTTAACGTCTCAAAGACCCCAATAATGAAAATTCAACATCTCAACTAAAGCTAATGAGATACAATTTTATTTATCACCTCTTTGTAACCATAGTGGTTTTTATGCAGAGCTCCGGGAAAACCTGCCCTTTGAAAAAAGGGACAATGAGTGTCCTTGGAATGACAAGTGAGTGTCACTTGTAATATGTCTCACAGTAAACTGTTAAGGAGAAAAGACAGGTGGAAAAAATGAAGCTACTGAGGCTAAGAAGTAAAGACAGGCAAAACAGATCCTTACTGTGGCCCAATATAAGTACAGATGGAGCAAAATGTGGACAAAGGGAACTATGGCTTCCCCAAAATGCGTCAGACACAAAACCATATAAATTATTTTCATTTACAAACACATTCATTTTGAACCACAAAAATAAATTTAGGTTAGCAATTTCAGTACATTATTATAAATGTTTCCCTCTTAAGTCTTGAAAATATAAAAAGGTTAATGAAATAGTGTACTAAATTCTTGTATCCATGCTATCACTGGATATTTTGTCATATCTAATTCTTTCACTCCTCCTTCTCATTTTATCTACATATTTAATACACTTTGGGAAAGAAGAGGTGAAAAGCCATTTGGAAATAACATTTTAGAAATAATATTAACACTCCACCCTTCATTCAGCATGAGGGCTGGTGATATACCTCAGTGGCATAGCACCTGCCTGGCAGGTGTGAGGTTGTGAGTTCGACTCTCAGTACAAAAAAAAAAAACAAAAAAAAACAAAAAACCAGCATGAATAAAGACAGACATAACCACAATATCATTACCACGAATAAGAAAATTCACACATTGTAAATCATCTAATAACCACAGCATACTCAAATTTCTTCAGTTGCCCCCAAATATCTTTTATATTTGTTCTCTGATCCCAGATCCACTCAGGCTTACTCTGTCCATTAGGTTGTTCTCTTTGTCTTTCAATATAAAATAGTTGGATATGAGGGCGATCTGGCTACAGCATCTGTCACCTCATTGATTGGGTTGATCTGATGAATCTGGCTGGCTAGGTGGGTGGCCCCTTCCTCCCCCACTACCTTATGTGAGTCCCTCCTGATGCTGCCAGCTGGGTGGAAGAGGATCACGCTTCCCGATGGAGGAGAATATTTATTTGGTCAAAGTCTAAGAGTACCTGTGCTCCCCTGCTAAAAACTCTAAAACAAGCTCTCAATACAAAATAGCTCCTACTCCTTTTCTTTTCATGGCACAAGTAGACTCTTGAAATTCACAGGGGTTATATTCCTAGAACACCTGTGAATTATGAAAAACAATTTCAGATGTGATCAGAAAAATGCCCTAAGTGCTGTTGTTTCTACTTTACATATATAAAATTTGTCATTAGTCCATGAAAATGTATTTCGATGTGATCAGAAAAATGCCTATCTTTATACTTTAAACCCTAAATATGCTTGTCTCCTGCAGTTATGTAATTTAATAAAATACCGTATTAATAAAGCCTTAGAAGGTGCAGGGGCATTTTGGCAGGATCTTAGGGATCTTAAAGCTTAAAGAACAAAACCAAGAACACTCGAGATAGCTACAAGTGGTATAGCAACCTGTCATGATGCAGAAATGTTGGTGCATCTGCTGGAGATGGGTTACAGGGAATCAGCAGCAAGGAGAACTGAATAATGCTCTTGCATTGGCTATCTGCAAACCTCCACTAAAAAAACAACTGTGGAGGATATTTGCAGTTTCCTCGACTTGCAAGGGTTTCCATGAACATTTATTAGTTTCCTCGACTTGCAAGGGTTTCCATGAACATTTATTAGTTAAGTTCTAAAGAAAATCCACAAAGACTGAGGCTATGAACTCTGAACCATGATTTCATGAGGGTATACTGTATTATAAGTTTTGAAACGTATTATTTGATTTTAGTAAGGTCATTATATGCCTAATGTTACAGTTTGAACATCTATTAACCTTCAAAGCAGTGGTATTGAGAGGTGAGGCAATGAGGTCACGAGGGTTCCTCCTTCATGAAGGGGATTAAGGCCCTCATGAAGGTCCACACCAGGTTCAGCCCCTTTCAGCCTTCACCCATGCTATGTGATGACAGTGTTCCTTTCCAACGAAGGAGGAGACAATAAGGAACAGAGAGACCAGGGCCTTACCAGGCACAGAACCTGCAGGTGCCTTAACTCCGACCTTCCCTAGCTGCAGAACTATAAGGAAATTAAATTCTGATCATGAGTTCAAGGCCACCCTGCGCTACATAGTGAGTTCAAGCCCAGCCCAAACTACATAGTGAGACCCTGTCTCAAAAAACCAAAAAATATGGCTGGGTGTGGTGGCACATGCCTGTAATTCCAGCACTCAGGAGGCTGAGGCAGGAGGATTGTTGTGAGTTCGAGACCAGCCTGGGCTACAAAGTGAACTCAAGGCCAGCCTGAACTGCACAGTGAGACCCTGTCTCAAAAAGCAAAAAATAAAATAAAATTTAAAAATTTAAAAAAATAAAAAATTACTCTGTGGTATTTTCATATAGCACCACAAACGTCCTAATATACCTACTGAAATTCATTAGAACAAGACACTACCTTATTCCAATTTCTTGCTACTACACATTATAATCCAATGACTATTCTTTTACTCATACTTCCCTATTATAATCCACTTGATAGAGACTAACGATAGTATGTTACGTACGTAATTCAGTTTCTGTTTCTTTCTTTTTGTTTTTTGTTTTGTTTTGTTTTTTTCCAGTACTGGGAATCGAACTCACGACCTTGCGTTTGCCAGGCAGGCGCTGTGCCGCTGAGCTAAATTCCCAGCCCCCCTGTGTGTTCTTTTTATGTTTACTATCATTATCACACACTTAATGAACTTTGATGTTACTTTTTTCAGCACATAAAACTATTGGCTAAAACATCACTTTATTTTTTACAATCAACATAAACTTATTTTTTCCATTAAAGGGAAAAAAGATATTACCTAAAAGACAATGAGAGGACAGCAAAGACCACATACCTGTTTTTTGAACTTGAAATTGAACTCCCACATTGGCTCCTGTCTGTTCCCAACAATCTTTCTGCACCAGAAAAGTAAGCACTGTAAGAAAGAAAACATAAAATGAACTAAAGGGGGAAAATATCGAAATATGCTATAAAGTAGCAAAAACAATCAGCAAAAAACCCCTCTGACAGCTCTAAAGCCAAACCCAGTCCCAATGCTGAGATTTTACTCTGGCACAGAGAGATCCCCAGTTTGACACTGGTACAACATGAAAAGACAATCCCAGGACTGTTCAGTAAGGAGAAGAGGGACGAATATAAGTCAACCTCGGAGGCTACTGAGACCAACCCCTACCGTTCTCATCTTTAAAGACAGAAATGTGGTATCCAGACACTGGGGCATTTTCTCTGATTCACCAGGCCACTGCTCTACATTAAAATATAGGGGCCGCCAGTCACCACCAGGCAAGATGATGTGGCCATAAGATAGGCAAGGAGGGCCGGCCCTCCAATAGGAGCAAGCCACTCAGGACCTTCTGGGAGCAGACAGCCGGTATGGGATCCACAGAGCTGGGTCAGTTCAGTCTAGTGAAAGCTCCTCAATGAAAGTCAGGCTACAGCTAGGGTTAAGCACAAGAAGTGAAGTACCTCCCAGGGGGCAAGGGGTGGGTCGTCCGCCGTGCCAGCTGTCCTGCCCTTCAGACATGCCCTGTACGTCCTGCTGTTCCATCAAAAATAATGGGCTTGGCTTTAAGGGGAAAACACTTCTGCTGCCATCACAACGGCTCCAGTGTCCCACACAAGCTATGCTACTGAAAAGAGAGAGAGGGGGAATCAAATGCGAAAAGCTGGAGTCCAGGAACGGGGCACAATTTCCTTTAGGCATGCTGGCAACTCCCTGAATGCCATGCACTTGTTGGCATACTAATGGCGAGGCCATGCATGGGACACCTGCCACTGCAGGTCCCACACCCTCTTCAGAAGATCTCTAACAGGCAAAGAAGCAGGAGCCAGATGGCCTGGATTACTTACTACCTGGATTAAGATCTTGGTTTTCATTTCACTTTGGCTTTGCACAGTCTACTTTTTAAAAATGAATAGTGAGAAGAATATGAAGAGATGGGCATTCTAGAATTTAAGCAGTAGCACTTGCACTGTGCACTGGAGCCGCTAAGATGCATCAAGCATGAGGAGTTTGCCCAATGCTGCTCTTCTCTCAGCACTGACTCACACCTGGCATGGTTAACTTTGGGATGATCCTGCCCTCCCCATAGTTAGTCTGATACTATCAAATGCTTCTGGGGGAGGGGTACTGTAAATGTGAGATGATACAAGGTCCACTCATATTACAAGCAGAAGCAGCTGCTGGGTGAAATTCTACTCTCACAGCTTGCTACTCCTGCCCTAAATGTATCAACGTAATTTTAAATTGAGTTCAGCCAATGGCCCCAATCACCTGCAACCCTAAGGGGAAATCTTAATTATCTTGAAATCAAAAGTACTCTTCTAATTCATATGTACCACATGCAATATAATCACTCTACCTAGAGCTAATCTGGGGAAGAAGAATCATTATACAATGTCCATGACCATAAAGACAAAGTCCAAGAGAATAGAAAGTGCTACAGAACATCAGATTGTGCAAAGGAACAGAGTAATAAAAATTACCTACTCTAATATGCACGAGGCTCTGGGTTTAATTCCCATGTATTAAAAAAATAATTACCTACAATTTCAAAAGATACTAAATGTAGACAATGGTATTAGATGAATAAAAAAAGGGCTGAGAAATCAACCTACCTACATAATCATATCTACTACACTAGCAAAGCTTGGCAAAAGTGACTTCATTAGAAATTTTATCACAAAGGAGAAAAGGACAGAATGCATCAAAGCTAGTAGACCTTGTAGAAGAACGCCACTTGAATGTATCAATATAAAATACTGGGAGGATCCTGAGATAAAAACAGCCTAAAACACAGGTAGAGTCCGAAGGTCTGTGAGTCAGAGCACCTTACAGTACTGAAACAGTCTGCCACAGAGCTTGGCAGTAACCTGGCACTGGGCACTTAACAAGTGCTAAAGAAAGCTACACTAGAATCCTTTACAGAGGTCAAGAATAAAGGGGAATTCCAGATGTCAGTTATATTAGAAAGAAAAAAAAAAATGAGTTGTCCACATTGTATCTTTGAATCATGATTTATGCACCTTTAAAAAATGTTAATATACATCTACCTTTTCATTAGTACTTTTCCAAGCCCAAACCATTAAAGTCATTATATCTAAAGTGATCCAAAGTATGACACATGGAAATGAATTAAGACAAGAATAAGGAATACACTAAAAGCACAAGAAAGCTGTAAGTAAAGGTAATATTAGCCAGCCCAGCACAGTGGCAATGTCTTGGAGAAATGAAATCTTTGAGCCCTAAAGGTTTACACGAGTATCCTAGCACCCTGGGACCAACCACCCACCCCAACGAAGAAGCTGAACACAAGGCACAGTCAGAGGCCCACCACTCAAGAGTCCATTAGTCAGACCCCAACACTGATCCTCACTTACTTTGGAATTCTTTAATGTGGTGGGGGTGCTTTCTGGAATGGCTGGATTCTTGGAGATACGAGCAGCGAACGGTTCGTACATATGGTACAGAGATCGGATCACACACGCCCGGAGACAGCGCAGCTTCTCCATGGACTCCGGTCGCAGGCGCAGGGGCAGCGAAGCATCCAGCGTGTAGTGCCTGAAACACGACACATTACTCCTACCAATACGTGGCCTGTCTCTGCTGCTCTGGGTCAGTCACCTAGGACTCCTGGTCTCTGTACGAACCCACTACACTACTCCGCTGGCCGGAAGGTAGCTTGTCCCAGTGCCCATATGCATACAAACCACTGTCTCTTCACCTTCTTCTCAGTGACTTTTGCTCCTTCACCCTGTAATCCTGTATTTCACCTGTTTTAAAAATTTAAATCCTGACCATTTCATTCTATAAAGAGTAAGCCTCTGAACCAGTATCAGCATAATATACTTCAGCTGCTCAAAGAAAACCTGTCCTGTAGAAGAGCCACCAGGTTCTCCTGTCAAGTATGTCAGTAAGTTCTCTTCTCCCTGCTACCTCAACATCCATTTCCCTAACAGCCTCACTGACAACTTGCAATATGCACTATCCTTCTGCACCCCATGTCAAAGCTAGCCCTTCCACTAATCCGATAATTCACTCATTCTTCACCACTGCACTCTGTATGGGACAGTCCAAGTACACAAAGCACATGATACTTCCAGGTGACTGGGAAATCTAAGAAACAAGTAATCCAGTAGGGAAAGATAGACATCTGTAGCATCTGCACATTCCAGCTAAAATAAGCCTCTGAAGAAACAGCAAAATCAGTTGTTGCTGAGAGCTGAAGCAAGTTTTTTTAAGTAGATGCTAGTCTGAGGGAAGAAGCAACCATAGCGAAGACAATTACCTTGGTGAATTACCACTATCAAATTTAAATTAGACAGCGGTCTAGCAACTCAGAGCTAGGGTCATAGCGAAAGTAAAAGAGGTCACCTTCCGGGGAGTGGCTCCAAATCACAAACACAAATGAATTAACTACACAGAAAATAAAGTGAGCTGTCTATGGTCGCACCTTCGGTACAATCTGGTCCAAAAGGCAGCAGTGCAAGTGACAGTCCAGGCATTCTTACAAATCAGGGAAAAATTCACAATATCTTCAGGACGGATGTAGGAGGCCAGCAAGAGCCAAATATCCATAGGATACTCTTCTCCTCCCGCCCCGTCCAGGTCTTCTGAAACAGAAAAAAGAACAATAATCTTTTATCTTTTACTAGAAACAATACCTCATGATAATCATTTCAGTTCTTCCAGGGCCTGACAGTTAGAGAAAAGGTTGTAAATGGGTCCAACGAAGGTCCTCAAGCTGACTGCTCCCTGCTAATTCTACCTGCTGAAAATTTTTGCCTCCTGTTGCCCAAGTGAACAGGTCCTATCCTTAAGGCTTTTTTCTAACAACTATTTACATAATATTTTGAAGTTTTCAAAGTGCCTTTGCATGTATCACTTGACTTTCATAATTCAACAGAAATAAAATATACTGTATCCATTTTAGTAATAAGAAAGCCTTGCCACTTAGGTAAACAGAATCCACGTTTCTGACTCTAAATTCTAGCTTTGCATTATAAACCCTGCCTTTGATGTTTCTTGCAGTCCCCATCCACCATTCTCTTCCATAAATGTAAAAGATAAAACAGATTTCAGTGTGATACAAGAAAATTTCAAGTGCAAACTATATTTTAAAAAAATAACCTGGGCATGAGGACACACGCCTGCAATCCTAGCACTTGGGAGGCTGAAGCAGGAAGCTACATAGCAAGTTCAAGGACAGCCTGAACTGTAGAGTGAGACCCTGTCTCAAAAACAAACCCCCCAAAGTTAAAAATAGTAAAAATAAATGAAAACCAGGTAAGTTACAGTGTACACTCCTTATTTAACAACTGCCTATAAAGGCTTTTCTTTTAGCTTCTCCTAGTTTCACTGCCAGTTTGGCCTATGATCCTGGCAAAAGACAATCATTCCTCCACAAAGTACCCCTACCTCCTCTTCCTTCAGACTTCATTAGTGTTCCTTACCTTGACCCTGAGGTTTGGATAACAATACAGATTCCATAAAGACACCTGTATCTGGACTCACCCTAACCCTAATCCTTAGTTCAGATCTAGTCTTACTATTGTCCTAAAGCCAGTTTTCCTCTAGCCTGGGCAAAAAGCTCTTACACATCACCTCCCTGCTTCTGCAGCTGCTTCCTGCAGCTCCATGAGTCAATCAGGTTCTTGTGTGAGTTCCTTCCTAACAGACAGCAGCACATCTAAAACATCATCTTCTTTCTTGGCTCATACCCCTTCTTATAATCTCCAATAACCACTCAAGGTTCAACATACTACCAAGTCAAGAAGCCACTTCTCCCTCCCTCCAACCTCTCTCTCTCTCTTTTTTTGAAAGAGAATGCAAATGGCTATCAGAATTTCCTCTACTGAGACCTATAAAGACTTTTACAAAGCGGAGTACTGTTCAAGATTTCTTGTCTTTAGGGATAAAATTCAGTCATTGAAGAAGTGCCAGTGTTTTACACAAAACTAAGAAACTCCAGCCAGGCATGGGCACCTACACCTCTAGTTCCAGCTGAAGCAGAGTGATTGCAAGTTCAAGCCCAGCACAGGTAACTCAGCACCTTAGCAAGATCTTGTCTCAAAAGTTTTTCTTTTAAAAAAGCTGGGAGTGGAGCTCCCTGGGTTCAATCCCTGGTCTCATACACACACTCGCGTGCATGAAATTAATGGTAAGTGTTTTAGCTGTGGTGGTTTTTAAATAGTATTTAACTTTTGGAGGTACCTACTAAAGTATTTACAGAGATTGTTTCAAACTAATCTGAAATGTGTGTGACAGAATGGGGGGGGCAGTGGTTAAATATAAATGGTCATGAATTGATAATTATTGAAGCTGGCTAACAGCTACATGGAGTTCACTACACTCTCTTCTTTGTAAAAAGAAGGTGAAAGGGTGTGCACAGTGGTGCACATATGTAATCTCAGCTATCTGGGAAGCTGAAGCAAGAGGCTTGAGAGTTTCAGGCCAGCCTGAGCAACTTACCAAAAACTCGTCTCAAAATAAAAAAGGGAGGCCAGGCATGGTGGCGCATACCTGTAATCCTAGCATTCGGGAGGCTGAGGCAGGAGGATCGCTGGGAGTTTGAGACCAGCCTGGGCTACAAAGTGAGCTCAAGGCCAGCCTGAATTGCATAACAAGACCCTGTCTCAAAAAGAAAAAAAAAAAAAAAACCACAACAAAACAAAAAACAAAAATAAAAAAGGGGTGCGGATGTAGTGTGACAGAGCGTGCCTAGGTTCAATGCCCAGTAGTAGAGGAGTCGGAGGAACCTAAAAGAAAGTCAATCTGGGCCACATGTGATGACGCATGCCTATAATTATTCTCAGCATTTGGGAGGCTGAGGCAGGAGGATCATCATGAGTTCGAGGCTAGCCTGGGGTACATAGTGAACTCAAGGCCAGCCCAAACTAACAGCAAGACCCTGTCTCAAAAAAAGAAAAGTCAATCTGACTCAAATGGAGGAAACTACTAGGGATAAAGTGAAGCAAGGAAGTAAAAGATGAACTAGGGGTAAGAGTCTATAAGCCACAAATCACGCATCTAACATGTGACTGGTATCTTAAATATGATATATAAAGAATTCATACAACTCAATAGTCTTTTAAAAAACAATTTAAACATGATGGAAGTAATCAGAGTTCTCCAAAGAAAATATACAAATGGGCAATTAATACATTAAAAAATATTCAGCATCATTAGACATCAGGGAAATGCAAATCAAAAGCACAATAAGATACCACATTCACTATAATTTAAAAAGTCAGAAAATGACAAGGATGTGGAGAAACTGCAACCTTCAACACTGCTGATAGAAATACTGAGTGGTGCAGCCATCTTGTGAAATAGCTTGGTAGTTTCTCAAAATGTTAAACACAGGTTACCATATGATCCAGCAATTTCACTCCTACCTTACAGAAATGAAACCTACCCATGAATGTGCACAGCAGTACTATGCATAACAGCCAAACAACAAGCAATACAAAGGAATCATTACTGATATATGCCACAATATTGATGAATCTTTATGAAAACATTATGCTGAGTAAAAGAAACCAGACACACAAGACCACATATTGTATCATTTCATTTATATGAAATATCCAGAATAAGTAATGTGTATAAAGATAGACACTAGATTAGTGGTTGCTAAAGCTGGTAGGGATAGAATTTGGAAGGGAAGGAGTGATGTTAATAGGAATGGAGCTTCTTTTTGGGGTACAGGAAATGTTATAAATTTAGATAATGTTGATGGCTACACAACTCTGTAAAACTATTGAATTACGCACTTTAGCATTTTATTTTATTTTTTTTGAGACAGGGTCTCATTGTGTACTTTAGCCTGGCCTCAAACTCACTATATAGATCAGGCTGGCCTCAAACTCAAGGTGATTCTCCTGCCTCAGCCTCCCAAGTGCTGGGATTACAGGCATGCACCACCAGTCCTGGTAAATTATGTACTTTAAAATGCATTTTAAACTGGGTCTTGTGGCACACGCCTGTAATCTCAGCACTCAGAAGGTTGAGGCAGAAGGATCACCTTAAATTCAAGGACCAGCCTGGGATACATAGTGAGTTTAAGCCCAGCTTGAACTACATAGCAAGACCCTATCTCTTTAAAAAAAAAAAAAAAAAATGCATTTATAATAAAGATATTTAACAAAAGTCTAAAACGACAGTATTGGGGCTGGGGATTTAGCTCAGCGGCAAAAGCGCCTGCCTGGCAAGCGCAAGGTCGTGAGTTCAGTTCCCGGTACCGGAGAAAAAGCCAAAAAAAAATAAAAAAATAAAAAAAAAAATAAAACGACAGTATTTTTGTGGAATGTGCCATAATGTGTCATATAAAACCGTATAGAATGGTGATGGTAAGAAGGAACTTTAAGTGAGAAATTAAGGAAGAATGAAGTATGAGAAACACTGATGTCAAGCTTGTAATCTTGGAAAAAAGGGACAGCACTGAAAATAATTGGTATAACAGTAAAGTAGTATCAGTTTACTAGCTCACTGATTTCAATGTTTCAACAAATACAAGGGTCTATTATCTGATTTTTACACAGATGAAAGTTCTGATAGATCAGACTCCAAACACACACTTCTCACTTCCCAGCTTTCCCCTAAACCTAGCTGACCATCAGAACCACTTTCACTTTTATTAGTAATAGCTATTCTGGCTCCATTCCAAGAGATTCTAATTCATTAAGTTTAGGGAAGAACATAGGAATCTGAATGACAGTTTGGCACATTATACACTATTAGTTTACTTTTCTCTGCTTCAAGGTATTTTCACCATTAGGAGGTAAATATCACATATTTTCCTGTTTTCCGCAGTACCAATTAGACATAAAGCAGGCATTAATTACTGCAGGGCCTTTAAAAGCCCATGATAACACTAACTATATTTGAAATAAAACTGGTTACACAGAATTCATATATATGGGAAAACCATTTATCACATCTCTGCTTCCTTACACTTTCAGAAATCCAGAAATGCCAGTTTTTACCTGATGACATACTGCCAACAAATAGCTACTCCAATCCAGTTCACAGCTCCAGGAATCAATGACTCTTACCAATCTCCTTCCTTCTCAAATTTAAACAAACACAAAAAGGCCAGATGTATGAACAGGTATCATCCTACGACCAGGATCGTAGCTGAAAGCTAGGTTTTCTCCAAACTCTGGTTCCCCACTGGTATCACCATTTGAGTTTCCCCTCATGGTATGAGAAAATGACAGTTTCAATCTGTCCCCATGACAGAACTAATAAGCCAAATGGCAGCAAGCCCTGTACCTTTGTGTCTCTTGCTTTTCTTTTTTCTGGAGATGGTTCTCTCATGGATACTTTCCTCCTGGGCATCCATCTCATCGCTACTATCAATGATGTCACAGGGCTCACCGGCCCCAGAAAGAGCTTCCTCTGCAGGAACCTGGGATGCTTCCAAGCCACAAAGAGACTTTACTAGGAAAAAATACGGGAAGAATGAGATGGAGCATTGTCCCGTCCAAAAATACAGACAGCTTCGCCAAGATATCAACATCTGTCAGGGAAACGGGTAGGGGAGTAGTGTGAGTCTGCGGGAGAAAGCTGAATACTTATCACCGAATTCAAACAAAAAGTCAGTACTTTAATATCAAAAAATAGCAAAGCAACGGGCAAAGGTACTCCAAAGTTGCAGCAACTAACTCCTTAAAAGTGTCAGCTTCAATTCTTTAAAAAAGAAGAGAGGGAGAAGAGAATGTACAATTCATCCACCATGAGCCCTGCAAGATAAAAGCAAAAGATGAATTCTATTCTCATTTACATAAATTCTGAGGAGCAACGTCCGTGAGGAATTGCATCCACTTTAACCCTGAACTGGACTTAAGTGTTATATAAAACACACGTTTCAGGGGCCCTTGAGTAATGAACTTAAAAGCATGAGAAACACCATTAGGAAAAAAAAAAAAGAACACATCAAGGTTACACATGGACGCAAACTGCAGAGCAAAGCACATGTAAACTACAGGAATGGGATTAATACCCAATGAGAGCAAGGGAAACTAAAGGTGAGTACACAAAGAAATGCAACGTTTCAGCTATGGAAACTGTGACACTTGGCTAATCCTCCCCTCCCGCGCCACCCCTCCAGGATGACAGCAAACAGAGAGGGCAAACGCGATTATGGGAAGATGACCAAAGGACTGCAGGAAGAACACAGGCGAATCCCAGATAAATAAAACGACTAGTTCTGTCTTCACAGCCTGGGTCTAGAGAGACTCGCCGTGCGCCTACCTTCCTGCTGAACCGCATTGGCCACGGCTTTCTTGACCCGTCCAGACCGCACGACTGCCGGATCCGAGTTGGCGTAATCCGCCACGGTCACTGAAACACACCATCAACCCTCAAGGGAGAGGCCAGCAAGATTCTCCCACCAAGACTCCCTCGCATCAGGTCCCCAGCCCAGCCGCCTCCCTCTTCCTGCAGCCGGGCGCTCGCCTCCCGGCCAGCGAGCCCCTTCCCTGCCCACCCCAAGGTCCTTTGGCGCCCCCGCCCCCTCCCCACCTCTCCCGGAGCAGGCGTCGTGGGCCCGGAACTTCAGTCGCTTTCCTCTCTTGGGCATGGTTATCGTGTTGGGGCGAGGCTGGCCTAAAGGACCGGGACCTCGGGCCATGTCTCGGGCCAGAGAGCCGGAGCCGGGAAGCACAGGCCAGCTCCTCCCGGCTCCGCGGCCATCCCGCACCCGAGGCCGCAACTCTCGCGATGGTTAAAGCCTGGCCTCCAAGTCTCGTTAACAGCCCACGCCCCTCTTCAACAACCAATTACCGCCAGCCATCTGCGTACGTCATCGGCCGGCGCCGTCAGGTGGGTCTGGTTCTCAGTTCCAGCTGTGTAGACCTTTCAGCTGCTGAGGTGTTTGTTTTATCCGACCCGGTGCTCACATCCCGGTAGATTTGGAACTGAGTTTATATCCTGGTCTCCCAGATTCCTCCTGCCAGCGGTAACTCATCTATCCGTATTCCAGGTTCACGTTAGCACCCCCCCACACACAGTGCATTGTAATCTTTGTGTTTCGCGTCTTGCGCTCAGACCCTTAGACTGAGCGCCCGCTATTCCGACGTGGGTGTGTCAGTCTGCACTGTAATTCCTTTAACCGAAGCTACAAATTTCTAAATTCTCAGAATAAGAGAAGGGGTTCTTAAAAAGTTTTCCAGTGTATCGTCATCGCCCAAGTAAAATTCGTGATAGATTAAGAAAGAATATGATCTTTCCCTTGTATTGAAAGAGAAATCTTGGGCTGAGGATTTAGCTCAGTGGCAAAAGCACCTGCCTGGCAAGCGCAAGGTCATGAGTTCGGTTCCCGGTACCGGAGAAAAACCAAACCAAAACAAAAAACAAAAAAAAAAAAGAAAAAAGAAAGAGAAATCTTGGGGCTGGGGATTTAGCTCAGCGGCACAGCGCCTGCCTGGCAAGCGGAAGGTCGTGAGTTCGATTGCTGGTACCAGAGAAAAGCAAAAAAACAAACAAACAAAAAGAGAAGTCCTGAGTTATGCTCTCCTTTATCCTTCTCATCCTTCTCATTTACTTACACTTCCCAAAAGGGTGAAACAGTAGAGGGCGGGCATTCAATCTGCTGGATCCACGCTAAAATATTTAGAAAAGGACTCCATTTTTAATCTAATTAGCTAATACCATACACAGAAATTCATTAGGAGCAAGCCGCTGGTTTTTCACTAGCCTTATGTAACAGACTACCACAAGGGGTCGTGCTAATAGGCTTGAATCTAGAGTTATAATTGAAGCCGAATATAATTTAATACAAGCATGAAATGTTCAGATTTAATTTACTCGAAATTATAACATTAAAGAAAGGTCTAGCATTAACTAGTGTTCTCTAGTTATTGTTATGAAATTTTGTTTTTTAATAGATATGAGTGCTTTTTATATTTTCTTTAGTAATATCTACTTGCAATACATTAAAACTTTAAAAAACCAAAAGAAAGGTCTAGTAGACTGTTAACGAAAATTATTTCAAAGAATTTTCCATGTTAAAAAGAGAATTTTCCATGTATACATAATTTATTGTTGGTAGTTTAGTTCAAAATGCAGATGGTAACCACTGAGCCTTCTCATTTCACGTTATCAGTAAAAAATTCATGAGTCTTTTATCCTTGTAGATCCTTGGTGCATATGTGGCACCATGTTTAAAACATTCCAACTCTGGAGGGAATCACATATGTAATAGGTATAAATTCTACTAATATCCTGTCTGTATGAAAAACTTAAAGGTTTTAATTGAAATATTATTACATTTCACAACTATATATTTACCTTAATCCATTCGAATGACAGAAATGCAAGTTCCCAAAACTATTTCATCTTTCAAAATTTGAAAACTAAGAAGATTTTAAATCTCTCAGTGTCTTAAGTCCTCTGGCCACTTTAATGACACAAAGGAGCCATAGATCTTTGATTCCACATTTCATTAAAAAGCAACAACTGTAAGTTAATGTTATTGTTAATTTCTAAAGTCAAAGATACAGGTTTTCTAGAAAGGTGTAAAAGTTATTAAAGTTGCTATTATATTTAAATGGAGGTTGATTAACCTATTAAGAAGAGGGTGGAAGGAGAATTCTGTTCTGTAATCTCAATAAAGTGGGAAATTTGAAGACAAATTATGAATATGTGTAGTATTGGAATGCTAGCTTTCTGATTTTATTCACTCTACTTTTTGGTACTAAATTATCCTTTACTTTGTCCAGTAGTAAATGAATGGTGTTTGCATTTTAAGGTCCTTTATTGTCAAAATTTTAAATTGGCAAATTTATATGGGTTACCAAAAATCTATATTGGTTGAATATTAATAGTCTGAAATCCTAAAGCCTGGCAATCATTGCTTTGGAGGCACTGAAAAATTATTTGTTCTTTTTTAAAGAAATATGTAACGGTGAAATTTTTTTTTTTTTTTTTTTTTTTCTCTGGTACCGGGAACCGAACTCACGACCTTGCACTTGCCAGGCAGGCGCTTTGCCGCTGAGCTAAATCCCCAGCCCCATAACCGTGAAATTTTGTATTGGAGGCAGTTTGCTAACATGAAGCAATATTTAAAAAGTAGTAAAAGTACAGATTCTGAAGTCAGCCTTGCTTGGGTTCAAGATCTTTCTGCTACTTATTATCTATTTAATCTTGTAAAAGTTAATTTCTTGTCTTTTTGAGACAGGCAATTCAAGCTGGCCTTGAGCTCACTTTGTAGCCCAGGCTGCCCTCAAACTCATCGCAATCCTCCTGCTTCAGCCTCTCCAGTGCTGGGATTACAGTTGTGCACCACCACACCTAGCCTCTTCAGGTAACTTTAATGTTCAACCCATATTCTGGAAACCACAAGTTTAAATCAAGAGCCAGTAAACCAGGGGCTACAAACCAAAACTCACCCCTACCTGTTTTTGTAAATAAAGTGTTACTGGAACATAGGGAGGCCTATTAATATTTTATCTGTGGCTACTTCTCTTTTTAAAAACTGAAAATAATTTATTAAAACTGTTGCTTTAGACTGCATGATGTTGATTTTGACCTTACTCCTGGCCAGGTACAGTGAGATATTTGTGGACTCATCTTGGATTCTCTGAGTCTTAGGACCTTCACCAGACGTTTTCCACAGAGTAATTCTCCGAATCTTGGTGGGGATCTGAACTGGTCCTTTTACACATCTTTGACAGGGGTTTTCCACGGTGGTCAGTTAGGATCATTCCAATTTGGTGAATTGCCACCACTGTTTGCAACTCTGCCATCATTGTGTCTTTCCTGTTTTGGGGGACTGAGGGGTGATGATATGGATTTATTTTTTAAACAAATTTTTATTTTATTGGTACATGTTTGCAATACATGATTACATTCATCATGGGAAGTTGGTACAAGTACATAACACTTCACAATTCTTTTTTCATCCTCTTCCTATCTCTTGGTTTCCTTCCCTTCCCCCTCCTTTTTAAAAGCCACATCTGCAAATCGGGATTAGGAGCTGACGGACCAGAGTTCCACTGTAGCTGCCACCTCAAAGAGAAATCTGTGCTGCTTTTCCTCTACAAGGGAAGTAGAGCAGATTTGACCCACCCTCAAGGTCAAAAATACCCATCTGGCTCTTCACAGCAAGAATAAAGTTCCTTGTTAGTTTATACCACACGGGGGCAGTATAGCCTCATTATAGGATCAAGATTTGAGCGCCTATTAAAATTTTAAAACTGACAGCAAAACTAAACACATCAGAATTACAGAAATGAGTATGGTGTTCTTGCTTACTGGATCCTTCTCGGATTTCCAAATATGCACATGTCTATTCCGTTTTGAAAACATGTACATACAAAACATTGCTCCCTCTTCTACCATTCATGACTAGTAAGAATAATCATTACCCATAATCTCTATTTCTCCACCAACTTGGTTTGTTTATTCTGTTCTTTTCTTTTCTTTCTTTTTCTTAGGTAGGATCTCACGATGTTGCTGAAGCTGGTGATGAACTCGCTTTTTTTTTAACTGGATGTTTAGCCTTGAACTCATGATCCTTCTGCCTCAGCCTCCCATATTCTTGAATTATAAGTATGTGATACCACATCTGGCTCATCTAATCATTTCTTGTATCTCCAAACTCCAGCTTCAAAACCCACTTGTCAGTTGAAACTTTACACTCCAGGCTAGCCAGCGACCCCTGAGTTTTCTTCTCATATTTTTTTCTTATATTTCTAAGAATTTCTAAATTCTTGTATTTTTAGGGGATCCCATTCTTCATAACACTCCCATTGCTTAGTTCCCTTCCTAACTCTCACACAGGAAGAAAACTCTCTGTTTTTCTCTGTAACCTGTGTTCTCATAGTCTATTGTGTTTGGGATAGGTATCAGTCCCAGTAGGTGCTGTTTATTGACTTTGCTTGTTTTTGCTGTATATATTCTCATTAACTGAAGGATAACTCAATGAGATTTAAGTACATAAAATGCACTAGTTTTAAATGTGCATTATAAAATATGTGCCTATATAACTTTACAACAGTAAAACTACCGTCCATATCAAGATATTGAATGCTAATCACATGAATAGTATGTCATTTACCAGCCTTTTAAATGTGACTATCTTGTAAAATCCTTATTTCTGCCTAATAACAATGTTGCTCTCCGTTTCTATGACCTAAGGAGTTTCAATTACCTTTGTACCCTTTTAACCTTTGTTTTACACAAATGCTAGTATCTTGGATCAGAGATTGATTTTTTAAATCAGTTTGGGTCTTATTAATTGGGAATTTAACCAATTTATGGGTATAATTCACCTCTCCCTTTGTCACTATCTTTTATGCTAAGTTTAACGCTTTCTTGGTGTTTTTCTTCTGCTACTTTTTCTTGATTTTCACTTCTTTTTCATTCCAGAAACTTGGGATGTATATATTCTATTTTTGTCCGTAACTCCATGACAAATTAATTTATATGAACCACCATCTGATGTAACTTCTGGTTTCCTCAGTTCAGTAAATCCAAGAACATTTTATCTACCCCTCTCCAATCAGTGCTTTGGTAATTTTCTTTTTGCACTATCAGCACTAACATTATGAGCTTGCTATTTTTCCTTCTATAATTAAACATAAGAGAAATAAACTGTACCCTTTTTTAATTTTGTTAGATTAACATGTAGAATGTCTTTGCTGTACTTGTCTTGCCCACAGTGACAAAGCACTTTTATTTCACATACATTTGGCTTAATGACGCACATCTTTATAATACTACAGTGGCAAAAATAA